GGTGGTGGTTCTGTTGCTGTCTTTGTTTCCGTTGTGTTGTTGTATTTGCTGAATTGTTTTTTTTTGTTTTTTTGCATTTGTTTACAAAATAATTAATTTAATTAATTTAATTTATTTGTTTAATTTATTTGTTTGTTTGTGTGCAGGTCAGGGTTCGGCTGGTTTATTGGTGTTTGGTTTATCTACTCTTGTTTGTTTTTTGGTGTTTAATGTCGATACAGCATTGGGATTGATGGGTTTTTGTTTTTTTAGTTTTTCAGTGGTTGCAGCAACAGCAATAGGTTTTGGTGTTTTCTTTCTCTACCGCAGCCGGTGTGTAGACCTAGCAGCAAACATAGAGAGAGTGGCTCACTCGCAGCAGCAGCAGAACGCATGCAGCGACAAACGTTTAGATTTCCCTTTAAAGGCTCGTCGTTCTCAGGCTTGGGGGTTTCAGCTATGGGGGGGACAGCAGCAGCAGCAGCAGCAGCAGCAGCAGCAGCAGCAAGAACAACAGCAACAACTCGAATGTTGTACAAATTCAGCAGCAGCAGTTGCAGCAGCAGCAGCAGCAGCAGAAGGATGTAGAAGTAAACTATGGTTACGTGTATTAAGAACTAGCTGGCGAGAGCTTCTTCTTGCTTTCTTTCATTTCAGTTATACATATCATCTGTACCCAAGTGTAGGGCCCCTAGGATGGAGATATTCATTTACTTTCCCTAACCAGATTGTAGTTTTATATGGTGTTTGGTTTTTGTTTGAAACTATAGGGAGAGCAGCACCAGATCTAGGGTGGGTTAAGGGTTTAGGGTGGTTGCGTCCTTCTCGGTGTATGTATGCACCTATAAGCCTAAGTACATTAATATTTATTGTTCCTTTTGTTCTCGGCCATATAGAACAACCTTTTAAGGTATTTCATAACCCTATTTGGTATATTTTTGTTATGGGGTCCTTTGCTTTCTCCCATGGATGGATAGGAACGCTAGCTTTCTTTTATGCATGCAATGCTGTACAGACACCT